AGGCTCTGGACAGGGCAAGAGACCAGGTGGAGTGGACCCATATGCAGGAGGAGCCGTCAGTAGTCTCTGTCCCTTATGGCAGTGGGGGCTAGGGCAGATTGTAAAAGGTCTTTTAGGCCAGGTCGAAGATTCCTGTGTCAGGCTGCTTTCCTGGAGGGTTCCTGGGAGAGGTCCTGTGAGTACTAATGACCCCGGGCAGAGAAGAAAGTGAAAGGGAGATGGCTGCTAAAGTGCTGCACATGCTTTCACTTCACTGCAGATCATCAACTATATGTGATTGACTGTATAATGTTAACTGACTCTGGAATGTATGTCCCGGTGATGTGACTGTATTGCCGTTTCCTGAACACCAACAGTAAAGTGGAGCAAATCATTACTTGTGTGCACATTCCTTCCTTGGGGATGTAAAAGTCTATGGTTGGGAGTGTTATGTGGAGGCCTATGGCAAGGAAGAGGGCACAAGATGGTGGAGAGTCTGGCCCCAGCTGGAGGGATAGTGCTCTAGCAGGGCTGGAATGTGGGTTGGGGCCAACATCAGCCATCCTCAAACCCACTCTTACAAGGGGGTCAGTCAGCCATAGGTCAGTGAACCCCTAGCAACCTTTGAAGAAACCTGTGGGTTCCTGATTCAGAATAGCTGGTTTAGATTGCCATACAGGAACATTAAGTTGTATGATAAGTTGTTGTTATTGCAATAAACCTCTTTCAGCCTTCAGATTAATGCAGTTTTTATTTTAGAGAAATGAGATAATAATGTATTGTTAAGTGATCATTCTTACGCTTTATTTCACCATGAGGAATGTGATCAGGAGGTATGGCAAGGGTAAGTCCTTTTTATAAATATTCGGACCTAAAAGACTCCTTCTTGCCTGACTGGACTCCATGGAATCGTAAGTATGTTTTTTTATTTGAATACAGAGATACATGTTGGAGATTTTACATTCTGTTTGGGATAGGTAGGGTGAAGTTCCCCTTCCCTGGGCAGTGTAATATGTGAACAAAGTGCTAGACAACTAAACGCTATCTTTATTTCTAGCAATTAGAATGGAGAAATGTCATAAATATTGTTGAGGAACCTTATCTCACAAGTGATGCAGGGTTAAGTGATACTGTGACTGGCAGACTATAAGTCTCTGGCACTGTTCCTAATGTCATTATGCTGGTTTATTGAGTCACCTAGCTAGCTTGAGGTGCACAGGTGCCAACAATTGAAAGTAATTGCAAGGGATACTTTCCTGCTGAGAAGGTGAGTCCGTTTATGTGCAAAACACTGCCTACCTTATATAATAATGGTGATGGTGATGCAACAAATAACCATATACACTGACATCCAGTTACATGCCACGACCAGTCTTATACTTGAATTGGTTGTTATGAGAAACATTGTATCTGTGAATGTGTGATTTTAACAGTTTTTATTAATATATACCTCTATAAAAAAAAAGAGAAAGAGACTGAGGGACCCCTTGTTGCCATACTGCACAGTAGTGACATTTAAATTGAAAAAAAAAAGTTTTTTTATGATTAAAATAGGTAATTTTTAATAACATTGAATTATAAAATGGCATGTGTAGTAATTATACTCTATATGTTCATTTTAATTTTTTAAACAAAAGTAGAGTAAAATTTAGCTTTGGATAAAGTAGGGAGTGGTTAAAACCTTGTATTTTTTTTTTTCTTTTTGCTTTTTATGTCCACTTCAATAAGATTTCTTTCAAATTCATCCATCTCAAGACTCTTTGAAGCCTTGGGCTCCAGAATCCAATCCTCAAGAAGACTGAAAACACAATTTCCTCTACTCAGAACAGACTTTCTGGAGCCCCTCAACTTGCATCGATCAGAACCAGGAGCGTATCTACCATGAGGCAAACAAGGTGTTTGCCTAGGGCGGCAATTTTTATGGGGGTGACACCGCCCCCCCCGACCCCGGAAGGAGGGACCTGTTGAGCAGCGGTGCACAGAGCCATGCAGGGCCGCGCCATCAGAGTGGTACCACCGGTACTCTTGTAGGTGGCCCGGACAACAGGAGGATCGGTGTGGTGGAGGAGATCAATTGCAGAACGATGTTCGTGTATCTCTCCCTCCAGCAGCTGAAAGCTGGTTTGTGGTTTCTCCCCCTCTCCCTCCTGCCGGCTTTCTGCTGCTGGAGGGGAGAGACAGACCTGGCCGCTTGGAAGGGGTGCCCTGGTGTTCCTTAGTGGCCGCTCTCCGCTGAGCTCCTTCCCCCGCCCACACTCAGAGCTGGGACCAGGGGAAAGCCTGGAGCAGGGAGAGGAGAAGTGGGAGAGGAAAGAGCCTGGAGGAGGTGAGCTGTGATATGTTCTCTGGGCTCTCCCTCCTGTTGTCTATCCAGCACATGAGACATTGATAGATCGTATGGGACTGTACACACACAGTATGATTACCACCCCCTGCCCACATTTTCTGCTGCCCGGAGATCAGCAGCCCTTGGAGGAGTTGTGTGCGTGTGTGTGTGTGTGATCATACAGTGTGTGTGTGGGGTGGGGGTAATCATACAGTGTGTGTGTGTGTGTGTGGGGGGTAATTATACAGTGTGTCTGTGTAAAGTCCCATAAGATCTGAGAGAAATAAGAGGGAGGGAAGAGGGAGAGAGAGAGGGAAGGGGAGAGAGAGGGGGGAAGAGATTGAGAGGGAAGAGAGAGAGAGAGGGAAGAGAGAGAGAGAGAGAGGAGAGGGAGAGAAAGGGGGAAGAGATTGAGAGGGAAGAGAGAGGGAGAGAGAGAGAGAGGGGGGGGGAGAGGGAGAGAGAGTGGGAAGAGATTGAGAGGGAAGAGCGAGAGAGGGAAGAGAGAGAGGGGGGAAGAGGGAGAGAGAGAGGGGGAAGAGATTGAGAGGGAAGAGAGAGAGAGAGAGAGAGAAGAGGGAGAGAGGGGGGAGAGAGAGAGGGAAGAGAGAGAGAGATGGAAGAGAGAGAGAGGGAAGAGAAAGAGAGGGAACAGAGAGAGAAAGAGAGAGGGAAGAGAAAGAGAGGGAAGAGAAAGGGGAGAAGGCGAGAGAGATGGGAGAGAGAGGGAAGAGGAAGAGAGAGGGAAGAGAGAGGGGGGGAGGGAGAGAGAGAGAGAGAGAGAGGGGGGGGGGGGAGGGGGGGAGATAGGGGGAAGAGGGAGAGAGTGGAAGAGAGAGAGCAAGGGAAGAGAGAGAGGAAAGAGAGAGAAAGAAAGAAGAGAGAGAGAGAGAGAGAGAGAGAGAGAGAGAGAGTCATATATACATACACACACTTATTGAACTCTCACACTCTCTCATTGGGGGGGTGCAACATTTTTGTGTTGCCTAGGGCAGCACAAAATCTAAATACACCACTGATCAGAACCCTGTGTGACATTTAATATTCCCAACACAGTAGCAGGACACAGATCGATCGATCTATCTATCTATCTATCTATCTATCTATCTATCTATCTATCTATCTATCCATCCATCCAGCTGTTTAGCCATTTAAATAAATATATGTGGCACCCTTCTTAGTACAGGATGCTAGGAAATTTTCGTTTTTTACTTCTCTTTAGCCATTGGAGCATCCATTGATTTCTTTGAGCTGCTCTGGGTTTCACAGGCTGCTGCTTTGATTGTTTGCCCCTGCATTCTGGGGACTTCCAAAACATGGAGGGTTGGGAAAGTCAAATAAGCACCTAAATATTAATGGTACCTCAGCCAATCCTTGGGAAGGTGTGCCTAGTAGGTGGCTGGAGGGGGACATAAATAGTCCTAGGTCTGGAGCAGCCCTGGTCTGGAACTGCTGGAGGAGTTCCCAGCCTCAGGGGCTGCTGCCCCTTTGAGGCAGCCATGCTAGTGTTGGCTGATAGTCATTGAGGTCCCACTTGTGGCAGAACTGGGGGGTCTATTCATAATTTCATGTGGAGCTGAGGAGTCGGTATGGATAACTCACTGAGGAATGCCTAGTATAAGCTGGGAGATGTGCAGCTGCCATGGGATGTTGTGAGTTCTGACCCAAACTCAATATTTAGTAATTGTGTGCTTCTGGGGTGCCAACTGTAACTATTCCTGTTTCTACTGGGTCTCCATTCTGGTCTTCTTCTTGGTTTCTGGCTTAAAGACTGGTCAAAGTTTTATCTAGCTGAGCATGTCCTCTTGTCACAAGGCTGTAGCATCCCATACCACCCCAACCCCTCTCCTCTTATAAGTTCTACAAGCAAATAAAATTTAAAAATACATCCCCTAGACTGTTTAATGGAGAACCAGTTAAAAATCAACAGCTCCTTTGGGGGGAAGCACTATTTATCTATCTATCTATCTATCTATCTATCTATCTATCTATCTATCTATCTATCTATCTATCTTCTAGTGAAATGTGTTTATCTATATCTACCTCTATCCGTAGTTCAATATGTTTGTCTATAATACAGAGCACAGAAGTATTGTAATAATTATTGCATACCTTTTTTTCTAAAACACACTCTTGTTTTTTTTCAAACCTCTCAGTCTGTCCATTCAGGTCACAATACAAAAGAATGTGGTTTCTCGGGCAGGGAGACCTGTCTCTCACTTCTTGCCATCTCCCCTTTCTCTTTTACAGAGCGATTGCATTTGTTTTTTTTTGGAAACCATCCATCTACTTGAAATACTTGCTGTGTATTGAAGCAGTGGAGGAATTGCATGCACAGCCTGCCTTCTTCTCTAGAACCTGTTTGCCCTGTCAAGTGTCATGATGTAGTGCAAGAAAGGAAACGGCTAAGAGCTCCGAGAAAGGTTACAGTTATTGAAATGAAGAATTCTTTGTTGGTTTAAACACTCCCCTCTGTGCTATCATGTAATTGGTCCATAAACTGGATGAACCTGACAAACAAGTCTTCTTGGTGGTATTTCAATTTTAGAAGCTGTGCAGCACATTGAAATTCCAGCCAGTCTTTGCTGGATTTTGCTTGGTTACAGGTGGCGGAGTCTGAACTGTATTCTCCAAGGAGATCTGGGCTTGCTGCGAAGGCAGGAAAGATCAGTTGCTCAGCATTTGCCATTGCAGGATGGATAAGAGTGCCTTGCAAATAGCTGGACTAGTCTTGTGCGGAATCGGCCTGGTTGGGACATGTGCCGTGACGGGCATGCCACAGTGGCGGGTGACCGCTTTCATCGGGAACAACATCGTCGTCTTTGAGACTCTCTGGGAAGGCCTGTGGATGAACTGCTACAGACAGGTTAACATAAGGATGCAGTGCAAACAGTACGACTCTCTGCTTGCCCTGACTCCCGACTTGCAAGCAGGAAGAGCGCTGATGTGCATTGCGATCTGTCTGTCCTTTATGTCCTTCCTTGTCGCCATCATCGGCATGAAGTGCACGAACTGCGGTCAAGACAATGAGCGGACCAAAGGGATTATCCTATTAATATCTGGAATCAGCTTCATCATTTCTGGCATCATCGTTCTGATCCCAGTATCGTGGACGGCCAACAGTATCATCAGAGACTTCTACAACCCTCTTGTCAACCAATCTCAGAAGAGAGAGTTGGGGGACGCCCTTTATCTCGGCTGGGCAACAGCTCTTGTTCTTGTCACAGGGGGTATCATCTTGTGCTGCTTTTGCTCCCCAAAGGAGACAAAATATAATTACAGTCTGCCTGAAAAAAACCATGTCTAGTGCTCCCCGTGAAGGGATCATGAGGAAAACATCAAGTTTGTATTCAAAAAGTCAGTATGTCTGATGGATGTCAACAATGCGATGGTAGTCTAATAGGACTGAACAAAGAATGGCAGAAATGGCCATCATTTTGAAGTTATCTTGTACTATGGACTTAAAATTTAAAAGTCACAGAACACTTTGATGACACCATTTGTGGAAATTCTACAGGCATTGTAGTTGACAGTGCTCAAAAGAACACTGATGACACTCTTTCAAGTCTGTGAGGAGGTGTAATGTGATGATCAAAGCAACAAGTGGTCCAAAGTGAACTTTTTTTTACGGCGGAATATATCCCCTTCTGTAACAACCCAAGGCCGCTTGCAGGCAGGTGAACGAAGAAGATAACTTACTTTAAAGTATATCCAAAGACAAAATTATTTTTTCATTTTGGAGTAGGGAAGGGTTAATAATGTTTTTTTTTTTTTTTTAATATTTGTATTTATATTTTTTTTTTAGCCAACTGTGTCTGATTAGGGAAATTTCCCTAAATTTCCTGTCCTGTACACTTAACATATTAAGGGCAGTTTCACACCAGAATCACACAGGAACGTGGTCCACATTCCTGCACAATTCCTCAATCTTCCTCTGCAGTGTGATTTTGGGTTACAAATCACACCAGAACACACAAAAAGTGTGCTACTTTCGAAATAAGTGCTGCATCAAATCACATGGTACTGTGGTACCATGCAATCTGGTGCCCGCAAATGCACTGCGTTTTTTTATCTATATTTGGGGGTGCAGTTAACAAAGTATTGGCACCCCAACAACTTGATGCACGTTTGCGCACTGTCTCAGCATATGGTGAACTCCTTTTAGTGAAAAATGGCCTAATCTTGGGAGAACCTCCTCTAACATATTTTTCCCAGTAGGGGCTTAATGGTAGAGAACAAAAAACCAATGTGAACAAGAAATTCACAAGAAAAAAGCGGTTACATAAAGGACAATGCGATACTCAAACTTTCAACAACATATGTTTTTTTTTGTACTGTCATACATTGAGGTGATGGCTGTCAGCAGTCTTTACTCAATGTTTCACATTGCTATCTTGCTAATAAAAGCATATTTTGATTACAAGTTTGAGTATCGCATTGTCCTTTATGTAACCGCTTTTTTCTTGTGAATTTCTTTTTCACATTGGTTTTTTGTAGGCTTTTTTGGTTATTGGGCAATACTTTACACTTCTAGCGATACCTATTACCTTTGATGCCTCCATTTTTATGGTGCTTAATGGTAGAGGCCTCACCATTAAGCCCCTACTGGGTGAAACATGTTAGAGGGGGTTCTCCCATTGGTAGCAGACCAAGCTGAAGCCATTTTTTACTAAGAGGAGTTCACCACATGCCAAGGTAGTATGTGGACATGCATCATTTTGATCTCGGTGTGTCCGGTGAGCCGGTATTCAATCCGACCAGCACCTGCAAACATTGTGGCCGGTCAGCTGGGATAACAGATTGGGGAATTTGAGTGGAATCAATTTTATTTGGTTTTCTGGTTTACTAAGAAAATGTATTGTCATCCGCAGCAGATCGTAATGACAGTGCGTTTTGAACGCGTATGGAATGGACCTTTCTCGCATTGAGTTCTGATGTGAACTGTCCCTAAGTGAGAGAATTTACAGTGTGTGGGAAATTGCCACGGGAACAAGTGTCCCCATGAGGAAATTTCCCTTTTATTCCTGTTCTGGTTCTCAGCTCAAAATGTTTGATTTCCCTCACTTTTATTCCCGGTGGATTTGCCCAGGACAGCTAGAAAGAGTGAATCTTCTTGACGGGGACACAGACAGCAATGAAATGCTGACTCTATCCGAATGGTTTACCTTTAGTTATACTTTAACTATTGTACTAAATTACTGTTTATTGGATTTTTTTATTGCATATTTTTTACTACACCATTTTTTTTGTTAGTATGATTGCTAGTTTCTATACATGTGATTTAGGTGTTAATGCAAAATCTTTACACATGAAGAAAATAATGAATGACAGATAAACATGAGCATTTCCAGATATATAAAAAAACCTTTCAGTTTAATATGAGTTTAATGAGCTTGTTTGGTAGGAGAAAGAGCAGTGTGCAAAGTGCAGTTAGCCATAGCCGGGGCGTATTTACCACAAGGCATACAAGGCATTTGCCTAGGGTGGCATTTTTTAGGGGGCTGCACTGCCCCCTGGAAGAAGGGACATATGTTGCATGGGAACCAGTTGGGACTGAGAGAGGATGCGGGCTGCTTTGATGATGTATGCAGAACCTGATTGTCATTCCTGGGGATGTTCAGACCGGTGAAGGTGAGCGTCTTTCTCACTATCGCCAGGGGGGGGGGGGGGGTGCTAGTGGAAGGCACTCTCGGGTGGGTGAAAGGGCTTGTGTTGGTCAGTGTCAGGCTCTCTTCGCTGGGGAGGGAGTCCGATTTTTGTGTTGCCTAGGGAAGCACAAATCCTAAATACACCACTGGCCATAGCCACCTATCAGAACACTTCTCTCACCAAGCTGGCCGCAGTTAGGGTCAGTTCACACTACACTTTCAGTTGCTTTCTAAAATGCACAGAAAGTAGGTTATATGGTTGTCAATGTTATAGTTCACATCAATGCTTGCAGTTCCAGTGCGTTCCAGTTACAGAAAAAAAAAAAGTAGAACAGACTGCATTTTTCCTGCAGAGAACTGTACTGGAATGCGGTAAAATGCATAAAAAACTCACCAGAACGCACCAAAAACACACTGGAGCGCACACGACTCTATTTAAATTGAAGAAAAAGAGAGGGGGAAAAACTGAACTAGAAAGCATCAAAAACGCACGAGAACACTAAAAAACACATCAAAATCTCACTGGAACGTACCATAAATGCGTCAAAAATGCGCATGCAGAAAAGCATCTGGAACGCATCTGGACTGCATTTCTATAGTGTGAACCAACTCCTAATGTGAAGCTGATGGGTTGCTATGGGTGACAGCACTTTGCAGTTAGTTATGACTAAACCCATACAAAGTTACCTAAAGGGTGACATACAGGCAACAGAGACAGATGACAAAAGAAGGTGAAGGAGGAGGTGCTAACTGGGATGGTAATCGTTTCGCCATCATGGTGATTTTTATCGTTAAAAAGTCCAGCTCAGATCACTCCAATGTGACAATAAAGCACTACCGAAATATTGTATATGTTTATATATTTAATTGCTAAAAGTTGGAGCTTTTCTTAGCAGGACAGAGCAAAGCGTGGTAACCGTAGCAACCAACCAGAATTCATTTTGTATTATTTCGGCAGTTCTAAACCACAAGGTGGAAGCTGATTGGTTGCTACGGATGATACACTGCGTATGCACTGAATGCACTACCTGACTATATAGGCTTTCCTAATTGTATATTGTATAGTTGAATAATTGTATGTTTTTGTTTTCAATAACTTTGATACAGTGTACATGCTATTGATTTGGGTCTGGCATGAACTATAAAGTCTTTGGTAAAACTTACTCGTCTTGTTCTCATTGGCTACTCTCTCTGGCTGCGGAATGTTCACGAACCACTAAGGAACTGCAAGTCTCAGCATGTCCTACCCACAGCCTGTGTCTGAGGGCTCATTCACATGGGCATATTTTCTGCAAGATCTTGCTGTCAGATCTAGAAGATCCTGCGTGAAATACTCGCCTAAAGTACATTTATACACATTTAAGTATGTTCATGTATAAAATTTGCAGATGTGCTCTACTTTTTTTTTGCACGGTTACATTTTCATATGAATTCGCAGCTATGTGTATGGGCTCATTGATTATTACAGTGCTGCGTTCCAGGGGAGGACTGACAACTCATGGGGCCCCCGGGCAATAGGGGATCATGGGGCCCCTGTGTCCTTGCCCAAACTCAAAAAAGCCTATGAAAAAGGTACCAGGGGCATCTCATGGGGCCCCCTACTAACCCCGGGCCCTTGGGCCGTGCCCGAGTTTCCAAATGGTCAGTCCGCCCTTGCTGCGTTCAGATGCAAACAAAACTATCTGCTGTACTCGTATGATTGCAGCATTTTTTTCTGCCCGCGAATGAGCTCCAATGGTGGCCACACATGCTTTGATTTTTTTTATCAGGTCTTCCTTGGATAGAATATAACTGGATACTAACATTTATAGGTAAAGTTGATCCAGGGAATATCCAATTGCCTCTCGGGGATCAGGAAGGAATTTTTCCCCTGCAGGAGCAAATTGGATCGTGCTTTGCTGGGTTTTTTTTGCCTTCCTCTGGATCAACTGTGGGTGTAGGATTAAAAATGTTTTTTGTTTTTCTTATGATTGAACTGGATGGACTTTTGTCTTTTTTCAGCCAGACTAACTATGTAACTATGTAATGTGCAGTTCAATCAAAATGATCAAATTTACAAACAACTGAATAGCCATAACTTCCTTAATGATCGATTTATACCCAGTGGCGTCCCTAGAAAGGTGCGGGGGTGCGCGCCGCACCGGGTGACACCTACCGCGCAGGGTGACACAGGACCCGCTCCACGAAAAGGTAAGTTGTAAAGCAAGCCGACGAAACCCGCAGAATGGATCGGATGCGGATCTGCGGATTGAGCATAATGGATTGGAGTCCGATCCATTATGCTCAATCCGCAGATCCGATCCATTCTGCCGGGATCGTTGGCAGGGGTGTCAGCAAGTGTTATCGCACCGGGTGACACCAACCCTAGGGACGCCCCTGTTTATTATACCCCGATCACACCGATCCGACTTTGAAATAGTGCGACTTTCAATGAAGTGATTTCAAATTCGGATGTGACTTGAGGTGTCTATGTAAGTCGCACCTGAAGTAGTGCATGCACTACTTTAGAAATCGGTGCCGACCCAACCAAGTCAGTATCGCACTGATATGACCAATTTAATTGTGGACAATAGGGTGCGACTTGCCATGCAATTTGCTACTCACATGGCATGGAAGATCACATTGCAAGTCGCAGCCGGTGTGATCGGGGTCTTAGGGT